TGAATGCTAGTAAATTATCTTTTTTATTATCCTTTTAGTGTCTGCTGGGGAGATTCAGTAGGGTACCAACCACATCAGATCATTTCACTGCAGTGGATTAAAGCAGAAAAGCAGCAAAATGATAAGGGAATACAAGAGACACTACCAAGTATTACTATATTCTTACAGAGTGCAGTCATTGTGTTCTATCGGTCAGGATCAAAGGGCTCAAACTCTGATAATATCAGTGTAGCCTCAATATCCTTAGATGATCTTGATTGGTCTAGGTTGATTGCAACAAGATTTAATGGAATGCTCCAATTGGATTATTTTCTACCTGTATAGTCAAAAGTTATTTCCCCCCTTTATATAAGGACCTATAAAGCAGGGCTTAGCTGAATTACAACCCAAAAAGATAGAAGAATGAAAGAAATAGTGGATGGATGGAGCTTTTAGCTGTGGCCTTGCCTATGTGTAGCCTTTGACCACTTTCCCCTAAGGGAATATAGCCCTTGACCCTGAAAAGATTGCCCACACTAAAAGAAAGGGAGGAAACAGATTCCCCTTCCTTCCTTTAACCCATTCATTTCTCACTCATATATTCCAGAGAAAACGGGAGACATATGATTTTGTGAGGATGTGCATGTGTGTGTGCCATTGTGCCAGAGTGGACATCACTATATATGTCTGACAAAGTGTTGTGTGCATGCATGTGCATATGTGGCTGTATATGTAAACAGTGCAACTGTCCGTGTGCATATATGTCCAAGGTGAGCTTGGGAAAAGAAAGGAGGACAGGAAAATGGCAGGATGGTGGAGGTAGTCATTGCAACTTTTGTTGGGTACTTAAAATCGTTAAGTATGAGAATCACTGTTTGGATCAGATGCTATGGCTTATGGCCTTTGGCTTATTCTTCCAATTTCTGCTGAACGGGTTGCCACACATTCAGATGTTGGCATGTGACTTTTTGTTTTGTTTTGCTGCTCGTAGAACTTGAGCTTTGACAGCATCATGGAGACCTCTGTTCCATCTTTATCAGTTTACTTAGGCCCATGAACTTGGCACTATCACTAGTGCAACTGTTAGAACTCAGCTATATAATGTCCAGCACAAGAGAGGCAGAAATCATTCCATTGCTGACTATCCAGATTGTTAATTCCCTGCACAGATGGCTCTGCATAAGACAGTGTGGGAGAAGAGTGTCTTCTTAAAGCCAATTAAACAGAATCCTTGTCCAAGAAGGATTTTCAGAATGCCTATGCATGCAAATTCATGACGTGTTACACAGACAGGGCTACGTTTCTCTTCTACCTTTACCAATGGTAAAACGCAGCATGATTTCCTACTTTGTGAAAGTTTTCAGTGTGTGTGTTTGTGGGTGTGGGTGAGAGATTTCGAATGCCTTGCAGTTTGCTAATGCTTGAAGAAATTAGGAGAGCTTGTGCAGAAGGTGGAGGGAGGGCAGAAAGAGAAGAATAAACAAAACAGAGTGTGCTACTTTAAGGGATCCATAGAATCTAGCAGAGAGAGACCAAAAGAATACAGTTGCTTTTAAAAGCAAGAGTTATTAAAGCTGTGCGTTTCCTTTGGGTTTTATCCAACATAGTCCTAAGTAATATGCCCTGTCAACTTTTCCCATTTCCTCCCTCCACACACCCACTATATCTGTTCTAGGAGTTCCTTGAACCTTCCAGAGCAGATTTGGGGAGAAGGGGGTGCCTGGGGAGGCGAGGGAGGGACGTTCTGTTGCACAAGTGGAAATCTTTGCGCCGGTGGGACACATTTGTTGGACACTGCCCGTTGTATTCACATTAGTTAGGCTCACAGTCCACAAGAAAATGGAATAGCAATTCGTTTTGCAATATATCCAGTGAAAAACTTAAAGTACTGCTGCTGTCAGTACTTTAGCTGTGCCTCTGTCATACAATGGAAATGGGGATTGTACTGAAGGTTGAAGAATGAAGTGCCCCAAACTTTGATTAGGTTTCATAGTCTAAATAAGAGACATGTGACCAATACACCTTTGCTAGATGGTGGTACATATAATTGAAGAGTAGAACTGGATTTATGTGTGAGTTGGCTTAATTGCACCAGCCCCAATTATTTTTTTTAATGTATGCCAAAAATACAGTTGCTCTAGACTCCCTACAGTATTATTGCTGTAGAATTAGACAAACCTGATACCTTTCTGCTTTGCAGTCAACGTTAAGTTCATCTCTGTGGAACTTGCTTGCCTGAATCTAAGGCTACAATCCCATACCCACTGAAGTCAACGGAACATATTTCAATGTGGTCGCATAACAGCTTGCCCTGTTAGTTGTGAATTGTGTGATTTGTATGAGTTTCATCTGAGCTTGGCCTTCCTCACAGAGCCTAATTCCATACGGGTCACATGGTGACTATAAAAGTCAAAATTTGATGATAAAAACCATATAGTGGAATTCAATGTTGTGTTTTTCCACTTGTTGCAAGCGTTTCAGCTTGTCAAATGGAATGATCTTCCTCTCCACCACCTGCATGCTGTTTTGGGGGTTCTCCTGATTTCCCCGTGCTAATTTTTCTGGAGAGGGATGTGCACAGGAGAAGGAGAGGTGGGAAAGTGCTGTGGTGCAAGCTGGTTAGGTGAATCCTACCCACAAGGAAGAAAGAGGAGCAGAAAGATTTGTAATCCCCCCGCCCGAACTTGTACTGTTAGATTTCGATGTTGTACTTTGAAAAAAAGCTTTGTAATATTTGAGCTGAAAATAGAAACGTGGTCAACTAAGATTAGCAGGATATTTGCCATTGCAATTGGTAGAAATGGTCGTACGCCCCAGAGTTCTTTGTAAGCATAAAGGGTGATGAGCAGGAGGATGGATCTAGAAAACTCAAGCACTTCATAGTTCAAGATTCCCTAGCCCAGCCTTGTAATGGTTGCTGCTATGAAGTACTGAAACAGCATACATTCACATGCATGCAGCATACATTCATTTATAGATGCAAAAGGAAAGAGCGAGAGAGAACAAAATATGATGAGCCTTTTCAGATGAGTGCAGCATATAGCAAATACAAAAGAAAAAGAAAAACACTTGGGAATTAGGCAAACACTGAATGTAAGAAGTAGGAATGAGACAAATATTGGATTAAGGCAAGCACTGCTTGAGATTCCAGTGTCAATTCTAACAGTGACAGCGAGACCTGGAATGTGTTGACAGTTGAAAATAAAGGCAGAAGACACAAATAAGATTTCCTAAACTTTAGGCTTTGGCCATTTGCGTTATTTAAATCAGATTACACAAATTGCTGAGGCAGAAAATAAATGTAATTTACATGACTGTGGTAAACATTTGTAGAGTAGCGTCTTGATAAAGTATTTTGGTAACTTCACGGCTCTGGCAATTTTTTGGCATGATATCTCAAAACCATGACAGACTTTCTGCAAGTGGCTCCCTACATTTGGCTTTTAAATTGAGTAGTCTCAGAAGTCACTCCCTTGTCTCAGATAATAATTGTTGAAACGTGTAACATGTCAACGTTTGTTTGTGTTTTCTTGTTAGCTTCCTAAGTAATAGCACCACAGAGATGCCTGGAATACACAGTGATTGCCACACAAATTAAACTTGCCTGGCCTTGCTTCTGTGAATTTGGGTCTTGAAAAATAATCAAATCGAGTATCATTTGCTTATGCTCCACCATTCCCAAATAAAACCAAAAAGTTACAAAATATAGAATATGTAAGATTGTTAAAAGATATGGGGGATTTAAAAAATCGTATCTTGTCTAAGTAAAAATAATATAATGAGGAATTTTCCAGCTTGTTCTGTAGTTAAAAAATTGGATCCCTCCAATAAAATGATGAACAAGGATATGGAAGTCCTGTGTGATCAAAGTTTCTCTAGCTTTCTGGTAAACACTGCACTTAAAAAGAATGGGTAAAATTGTCTCTGCCTCTTCATCATGACAAGGAATAATGTGTGTGATAAGGAAAAAAAGATTTCCTCTATGAACAGACAGTTCAAAGAAAGCATCCCATTCTCATAAAAACGGCATGGCAAACCCAGTGACTGGGCGAGGCTAAGGCTCCTGTAGGTCAATATCTGTTAATCTCTGTTTAATCTATATATTTGGTGTGCTCACAGTTTATCAGTAACATAAGAGAAGCTGATAGCTCAACAGCAACAACTTTTTGCAGGAATTCATTCACCTTTCCTCACCTGGAATACAAAGAAATCGGGAGTAAGCAAAAGACAGAGAGACAAAAGTGAATGGGATACATCCAAGCCAGGCTCTTCAGACCTGTTTCCAGATTAAGGGCAGCACTAGCAACCCAGCTGAACCAAGAGCCACTTGCCTGGTGGGGCAGAGCTGCAGCAATAGCCTCCTGGAAGCAGCATTGCTGTTGCTCACTCGGAGGAGGCAGCAAGGTTGCAGGTCCAGTTGGTTCCACTGTTGTGTCTGTGCAGCTTTGCCCTCGATACCTTCTCACCTGTCTCACCCACTTCCAAGCAAGCACCAGCAATGGTGCTGCTTTGAGCAAATGTCCCACCAGGCAGGCCACTCCTGGTCTGGGCATGTCCAATTTTAGATCTGAGCAAATAGGATTGAAGTCGTTTTTAGAGAGGCATGGGAACCAAACATGTGCTTTGAAAAGAACCTGGGATACTCTTGGAAAACCCAAATGGACATTGGGGGAAGTAACCTTATATCAGGGTTATTATCACGATGCTCTTCAGATGCTGCTGAGCTCCAACTTCCATCAGTTCCAACCAGCATGGTCAGTGGGGAAGGATGATAGAGGAACTGTAGTTGAAGAATATATGGAGGACACCCTGTTGGCTTTTAGTGTTGTATCCTGAGCTTAATGAAATCGTACACACACCCCTCCCCATTAATATATAGTAGGTGTTAATTGTTGGTACACCTAGCGTGGGATAAGTGCTTTTTCAGATTCCAGTTAATTAATGTCCACAATCTACATAATACCATGCAGTTGTATCTTAAGTAGTCTGTATGGATGGCACAATCCTACGCATTGGGAAGGGTCGTGGCTCAGTGGTAAGTGTATCTGCTTTGCTTACAGAATGCCCCAGGTTTAATCCCTGGCATCTCCAGGTTAGATTGGAAGAGAGCTTTGCCTGAAATCCTGGAGAGCCACTGCTAGTCAATGTAGATGATCCTGAGCTATATGATCCAATAGTCTGATTCAGTGAAAGGCGTGTTTTCTTGGAAGTGCATCCTATTGTGTTAAATGGGGTTTATTTTCAAGTAAGTATGTTTAGGACTGCAGCCTGAAATTTCTTGTACTGTGCTTACGGACCACTTGCAAATGTACACAGGCACAGGGAAACTTAACATTTTTGAGCACTCTTTCCCCCCTTTTTTCTTTTCTTTCCTTTTCCTTTTTTAACCACTTCTTTAGCAATTCACCCAAATGTGTTGGCAAGCCTGGATTGCAATGCCATAGTCTCCCGTTAGGTACAGCTGAATGTGCCAGTGTCTTAGTTCTTGCCCACCAGCTACCCCATCTGGAATAATCTGTACTGCTGATTAGGCAGTAAGGGATGGGGGATTTAGCAGCCTCCTCCCAAGAAAGCACCATCCAATTCTCCGCAACTGAATGGATGGACGGTATTACATTACATCCGTTTTATGGATGGATGAGATTACATTTTGGAGAAATTGGTGAACTCTTTGGATGCCGTCAGGCTTATGAAGGATTCCCATGTGGAAAAAGAAATAATTTTGCTGGTCTGATATTTGTGTACAAAGACTAGAGGTTGATTTATATGCTGTATATACAGAAGTATTAAAAACAAAGGATGAGTATGTACATCTGGCTGCACTTGAGTAACCTTAATTATGCTGAAAATAAACACCATGGTATAATAATAATAATCCTCAAAGCCATATATTTTGTCTTCTGGTTATTAGTATTCTCTTCTTATTTTCAAATAATCTGTTAATACCACAATAAGTGTAAGTTGAAAATTTTACTATTTACCATTAATAGAATAGCTGACATCTCTCTCTCTCTCTATCTCTCTCTCTCCATAAAGGATCCTCTTTTGAACCACTGTATATATAAGATCTTCTGCACAGTTTGATAAATGCTCACCCTGCATATGAGTTTCCTTCACAGGGAAAGGCATTAATTCACTTTAGCACCAGGATGGAGATATATACAACTCATATTAAGTCAAATTCTTTATCTTTCCATTTCCAAAAGGCACCTATATTAGCTTTCATAGTTTGTGTCGAAACTGGTGGTGTCAGGAGTGATTCCGCCAAGGTTTGGAAAAAGCATTCTTCAAACGCAAATTTAACCAGGCTGTTGTATACAAATGTATTTGGAGGCGAGTTTCTTTGCCCTTGCAAATAGTCTTCTGCTGATATTTCAAACTCTTAAAATTGCAAGCTTATGGGGCTACTGCACCTACATAGTCAGCATTGCTCAGATAAGGAGCTGAAAAAAGTCAGCTGCTAGGTTGGCACATGTTCGCGGATTGCTGGAACTGAAATCTTTTAAATGTGCATGTCGTTTCCGGAAGTGTACCTCTGGCTCCTAAGTCTTGACACCAGCCAATTTAGCTGAGGATTTCCAAGTTAGAAAAATCTCATGTATGGCCCGAGGGCAGGGCATGCATCATGTAAATGGAACCTTTGAAATAAGAAAGAAAGAGAGAAAGAGAGAAAGAAAGAAAGAAAGAAAGAAAGAAAGAAAGAAAGAGTGAGTCTGGCTGTTGGAGGGGAGAAACACTGCTGTGTCTGACCATTTGCAAAAACAAAAGCAAAAAATAAAAGTGAAACCCTTGTTTTGTGAATAACAAGCCAACCACTCAATTGAAACATTTGGCACATCAACAAAGGCACCCTGGTAGAAGTGGCTTGCATGTGGGAGGAATCACAACAAAACGTAAACCTGGCAATTTTATTAATCCCAGTATTGGCATAGGCAATGTGCTGCGTGGCAGTTCCAAGTGGCATTGGGGGAACCCATCCTGCAAATCAATCATGCTTGTACAGCAATCATGAGCCAATTTAGAACTCTTTTAGAATTTTTCCCCCCACCATGCATCTCTAATGCTGCTTGTTAGCCCATTTCTGAATGGAGCCACTCATCCCTCAGTGTAAGATGTATGTATTCTTCAGGTACTCCAAAATTTTATCTTTGGTTTGACCTGCCTTGCTTATTATAAGCATCCGGAATTCATAGCCTGATTTCCTTGTTTCCTTTCTGTGTCCCATTTCATATTTATAATCCATTGGTTTGACCACAACCCTATTTTCCATCTGTACATCTTAGGAAACCTTCACCTACCTATATAAACATTGAGATCTATATCTAACTGTTAGCTATGCACTTATCAGAACGTGCTTTTACAGAGTTGATTCAGGGAATACAGAATACATTATCTGCCCTGCCTTTGAAATCTTGATTGGCTCCCTGAGTGCTCACGACAGCACTTTGGTCTTTGCTCTGACTGTTTTCATTCCTTGGACCAGAGCAGGTCTGCCAACTATGATCTGCAGATTCATCAGACATGTACATGTGTCCTGCCAGTACATGTATGTTTCCCCCCCCCCTTTGCCTTGGATGCATGCCTGGCCAACTGCATTCCAATTCAGTGACTCTCCAGTTTTGCTAGACAAAATTCAGAGCTGTTGGGGGGGGGGGGAATAAACAGTTTTCTTGACTTCAGGAGGTTCTGAGAAGCTTTATTTGGAAAAGGCGCCACTGGAGGAAATGTCCCCTAGCCCCTTTCTGATCTACAAGTCCAAGACTGAGCCAGCCTTTTTTTATAGTGCAGAAAACATATTTAATAGTTCGCACAAATTACCAAAAGAAATGCAGCAACAATATTGAGAGAAGCCTACATGAAGTAGTGAACCTGAATGAGAAATTGATGCCTTATTTATTAGATAGCAATCACCTCCATAATATGCTGGAAGATAAATGACTAGCCATTCTTTCAGGATCTCAAGGCTTAGGAGGGATGTTGCACTTGACATAGTGATTATTGATAGCCATGATAAAGTTCTAAACACTGAACAATGAAAAACCCAAAAGCAATACTAAAAAAAATGGCGGAGTGGAAGTGGAAAATTATGGGAAATGTTAGGGATGTTTCATCTCAGTACCTCTGCCTCATTATGCTATCAGAAAAATGTAAAATACATAGACTAGATAAATGTCTTATTAAGCCTTTCACTGCTTTTCTCTTGGAGCTTGGAGATGTGCTTGAATAATGAAAAATGTAGAGGCCGTTTCATCATATGGTGCAGGCGGCAGTAGGTAACGCTGACAAACTGTTTTGTTACCTACTATAATAGACTAGTATGGGGTAGAAAAGTTACATGCAGGACAGTACTATATCTGCCTCAACTGAAACAGTTTGTAAATTTCTAAAATTACTTCACAGTAAGAAGTGTTTCGTTGCTGCAATTTCCAAAACTGCTTAGATTTTTCCATCCTTAGCCAAGTCAAATACAAACCTGAAGAGGGATTTTATGGCTTATTTTCAACAGTGCACTGCAGGCCCAAGGGCTGGCATAGAGTTGGCATCCCTGAACAGGCGATACTGCCCAAGCACTCCAGCAAGGTCTATCCCTGCTCCTGTTTTTAAAAACAAACAAGCTGGAGCAGTTTCCACCTTAGATTTTGACAACTGGAGTTGACCTGTGGAGGATTGTGATGAAAAAACATGGCCGCTCACTGGAGCCACTGGCCTCATTTCAGGAGCTGATCAATCTCAGTGTGCCTGCCTGAATAGTGAACCACCAAAGTGCAGCAAGCAGCCTTCTCAGTCCTGGGCTGACTCCACCCACCCAAGCTGACCATTGGATCCTTCTGGGCAGGAAGGAGTATCACAGGCTTCCTGTTTCACCTGAACCCTATTGAGACAACGTGGTCTTCTTAAGCATTTGGTGCATTCCTATATCCTTGGTCAAGCCTCCTGGTTAGTCTTCTTCTTCTGACTCACTCTTTGTTCCTGACTTTTATCCTCCTCTTTCACCCTGCTCAGTTCTGGCACCTCTCAGGTGAGCTCTATTGCCATTCTAAGAGAATGGTGGAGGTGTTCGTGGTGAGTTCTGGCACCTCTTTTTCTAGAAAAATAGCACTGACCTTGCCTCTGACTTATTTTTTCTTTAGATTTGACACCTGGTTTATTCTGCTACTTCTGGTTCCAAGCTAATGGTTTATCTCAGACTGGTACTCACAGCTTAGCTCTGATACACCATGAAGGGAAGCTCCTCTCCCAAATCACCTGAGAACCCCAGGAGTGCATGGTTAGAGGAGGGGCCCTACTTTACAGAAGGTCCTCTCAACTCTGGAAACTCTAATCAAGTACCTTTGGGTAGGCAGGCAGGTGGCTGGCAAAGAGATGAACATCAGGCAACGAGGAGGCCAAAGTGCAATAGTCTGGCAGCACAAAGGAATCACCTGTGTCTTCTCTCAGCAACATTGTGCCCAGACTGAGGAAGTAGAGCAGATGCTGGACTACTGCACAAGACTTCCAGCTGCAGCTGCCTCAGCCCCAGTACAGTAGTTGGGAACACATACCTGCTCCTCTGAGTTCCTCATTCTACTCCACAGATCCTATAGAATGCTTAGACAGTTACAATTAGTCCATACAGTATTTACAGAACAGCCCTATGCCAAATGATGGTGCCTAAGGACTCTATGGAGATGTAGGTGGCGCTGTGGTCTAAACCACTGAGCCTCTTGGGCTTGCCGATCAAAAGGTCGGCGGTTCAAATCCCCGTGACGGAGTGAGCTCCCGTTGTTTGGTCCCAGCTCCTTCCAACCTAGCAGTTTGAAAGCACCCCCAAAAGTGCAAATAGATAAATAGGTACTGCTCCAGCGGGAAGGTAAATGGCGTTTCCGTGTGCTGCTCTGGTTTTGGTGCTCCATTGCACCAGAAGCGGCTTAGTCATGCTGGCCACATGACACGGAAAAACTGTCTGCGGACAAACGCCAGCTCCCTTGGCCTGTAAAGCGAGATGAGTGCCACAACCGCAGAGTCATCTGCGACGGGACCCAACGGTCAGGGATCCTTTACCTTTAAGGACTCTATGGGAGTTAATGAAATGCAGGCAGCATATGGGAAGG